TCGCAGAATGTGAACTTTGATGGTTTTTGAACTTTGATGGTTTTTGAACTTTGATGGTTTGACACTTTTGACAGCTTTAGTCTTGTACAGCCAATCAGATTATTTGAACTATTCTAACAGGGATTCTGATTGGCTTATTGTTGCGTGCTTTATGGGAGTATAAAGCATGCTGACGACACTTGTTCGTTTTGGAAATAAAGTTTGTTTTGAAAATTGAAAGTAATCCTCGGGGAATTTAATGGATTCTTTATTATAAAACAAATAGGGAAGCCTTAACTGTGTTCTGTTCTGTTATAAAGCACGCAGGAAGCGGCTAGAGCACTCAAGAAGTGGGGAGAAACACTCGACTACGTTTCTCCCTACACTTCTTTCGTGCTCTAGCCGCTTCCGTCGTGCTTTATAACAGAACAGAGCACATTCAAGGCTTCTCTATTTGTTAAATGATGAACTCGTTCTGACCAATCACAGAGCGCGCATTTCTCTGGACATTTACATGATAACAAGTAATACGATGAGTTCTCTCGCAATTTGGGGTCACTAAGTTCTTGTAAATTTTTTAAAGACTACAAATTGCATTCACCCTACAGGCGCGTGCAATTTTGTTATCTTTGAAAAATATACTCGTGCTTATTTCCACCAGATTGCACTCGAAATCATGTTACTTACCAATACAAATAAGATAAATTAAGTTCTTGTAAATTTTTAACTGATTGCAAATTGCACTCTCCCTACGGGCTCGTGCAATTTTGTCATCTTCGAAAAATTTACTCGTGCTTATTACACCAACTTGCACTCTAAATCGTGTTATTATACCTGTAGGAATAAGATAAATTCAGAGTAATTAGCCAGAAAAATCGGGGCCACGAAATGTTCGTATTGTGATCAAACTTGCTATATTGAGAAGGAAAATAAGTTTGATATGGTCTGTGAGATGATGTTCATTTGTCCTCTGGTCGATTATGATATTCATGAATATTCTTGATCAATTCCAAAATAGCTCAAAACTTTTTAGAAACCGTTTGTTTGACCCGCGCTTATGTTCAAAATCTGTTGATGCATTTTAATGAAGCAAATTGCAGACTGGCCTCTCAAAAAGGTTTTAATTCAATATCAATAAATAAAAAAAAGAAGAGAAAAAACATCACACATATAATTATTTTTTGCTTTCTATTGCTTCATTATCACGTTTGGATATTTGCCAGTTCAGTTGTGCATGTGATGAAAGGTGTTTTTGTTCTTTTAGCCAGAGCAAGTTTCACATAAATTATGCGCGAAAACTTGATCATTATGCTTCTGACCGTCATCCATGGCATCTTGCAGAAATTTATGCTCAAATTTTTCTTTCTGTTCAATTTGATAATTCAAAATAATAGCTTTTATGCCGGAGCCCCTCGACCTCCCGCCCCCCTACCTTATTCCTATCACCAGCAGGTAACACTTGCTAACAATAAAAGGCTTACCGAAGTTCAGAACACAACATTTTACCGAAATTAAACTTAGATGATTTCTCTGACTTAAGAGCAAGTAAATGACACTTTGAAAATTTTGAGCAGATTTTGTTGACAGTAACCTTAGGTTAATTTTCCCCAAAAATGAAACATAGATGGAATCTTAGAACCGAACCCCATTGTAATTTTTTTTATTGAAATGAACAAGTGATGAATTATTGAAAATTAATTCATTAAATGTGAGCAAATAGATAAATTACCCACAGAACTGATTATTTGCTCTCGCATAGTGGTGTCCCTTGTAGGCTGCCATCAAGTCTGGATTAATTCCAACCTGCACGAGAAAGGAGCCATAAATTTTTATAAAATAATTCAAATAGTACGCGCGCTCTGATTGGCCATAAAACTATTTTACATGAGCGTATGTAAACACAGTTTTCGTTCCTCTTTCATTAGTTACTTTATAAAAGAAATGTAAAATGGTTTCCGTGTTTACATAGCCTGATGTAAACACGCGGGAGGTTGGGAGAACACTCGATAAGCTGGAAACCACTCCGCTTCGCGTCGTGGCTTCCTACGCTTATCTCGTGTTCTCCCAACGTTTCCGTGTTTACATCAGGCTATGTAAACACGGAAACCATTTTACATTTCTTCAGTCCAAAATAGATGCACATATTACTTATTGAGTTTTATCAATCTAGCAGGATGTACAAGAACAAACAGGATGGAAAAAATATAATAACATCGGCACTCCAGTCATCAGCCCTCAAGGACGACAAAGTCGGTGAAGACGTCATACGATAATTGGTGACGCTCAGCAAATCGAAAGAGGTGCGAGACGTCTTGGAAAAGGAAAAAGAGAGGCACCGGTACGCTCTGAAACTTTAGCCTTTCTTACCTCGGAAGAGCTGAGCAACAGCAACATTGACGGCACCCACAATAAACAGCAGCTAGATGTTACAAAACTTCAAGCTTTGAAGATGCTGTGTTTTAGCCGTTTTCCAATTGAATCTGCTAAGGAGAAAGAAAAAGTGCGGAAGTCCATCAAAAGTAAAATTAATTCGAAGTGTCGCCTTAGCAAACATGTAAATAAACTTGTTCGTTCCTTGTAGTGTTAATAAAGTTGAACTGACCTTGTTTCGCCAAACTTCAGAACCAAAGAAACATGAAGTTCATTTTCAATAATAATAAGAATAAACAAAGGAGAAGATTATGAGTTTCTCGCAGTAGCCGTTCGGGATATTTAGCAGCTAAACTATTCTCAGTAAATTGCCCTTATTTCATGAATGTCACACGAAAACGGCAGTAGTTAACCCAGAAATAAAATGCGTAAGTATATACTAGTTATTATTTTTCAAATTATCATGCTCAATGTTTTCGCTTTAAGATAATTATCCGTTGTCACTCGGAAAGTTTTTCCGCAGAAGATCTCGCCCGCTCAACCACAACCGTTTAACATTGATTTTTAGCTCTCCGTTTGTCGATTTTGGTCTACCGTTTCTCGGTTTAAGCAATCCGTTTTTGGACTTTGGTCAACCGTTTAACGTTTCGGGCTAACCGTTTTTATTTTTGCTGAACCGTTTAACGGTGTGAGCCATCAGTTTTTGGACTTTGGTCAACCGTTTAACTTTTCGTGCTATTCGTTTTTATATTTGGTCAACCGTTTAACAGTGTGTGCTATCCGTTTTTGGACTTTGGTAAACTGTTTAATGTTTCGTGCTATCCGTTTTTAATTTTTGGTCAACCGTTTGAAGGCCTATGCCATCCGGTTTTGGACTTTGGTCAACCGTTTAAATTTCTTGCCATCCGTTTTTAAGCGGTTATGGAAACTATTAAAACGCTTGAGTTAGCCGTTTATTATCCGTTTCAAATCTTCTTTCTACACCGTTTAACGGAAAAGCGTTAGTGTCCGTTTTCCCATGGAGGCTCACATATTTCCATGAAAAGGAAACTAGTTGTAAATTAAAAAATACTGAATCAGTTGTGAGATTCCATGATAAACATTTTTCCTTCAATTTTTATCACTCAAGGAATCTCTTGTCTTCACTTAGTGTTTTAAAGGGTTTCAAGACTCTTTTTCAAGATACTGAGAAAAAGGTGATAGAAATAATGGAAAAAAGTGAGAGATCATATCTGGTTTGTAATGTAACCAAAAATGCAAAGAAGCACACACAGTTGTATCACTAATGATTAAAGAAACTATCATTTTGTGGACAAACACATGTCAAACAGTTTTATTGTAATTCAGTGGCAAACTTAAAATAATACAGGAAAAAATTTTCCATCTACTAGTACATAGCATAAATTAAACAGTACAAAGAAAAGTACACGTGATTAAAAAAACAGGTTTAGATTAGAATAAAGGAATCCTCATAACATCCAACATTATCAGGGAAAAATAGTACTTGTGACAAACAGTAACTTCAATTTTTGGGCAGTATGGGAATGTGAGAATATTAGGAAATCTAAAATAATGGATAAATGAAAAAGAGAATATTCCACTCCAGTCCTTAGGTGAGGATGACAGGGCTGATTAGGATTGGGCTCTAGTCACTTCCTCTATCATTATCCGGGATACTGATGACCATCCAGTGTAAGCATCACCCAGTGTAACACCGTGACACTGTCCTACCCATAACTCCACAGTAACCTTGCCCTGTGGAATGTTTTCACAGTATCCCTCAAATGATCTGTGATGAAGCAGAGCAGGATTCCCAGATGGCCAGTTGTTGTACACAACAGCGTCAATTGTCATTGGTCCACTGCATTCATTACCATTAAACTTGAAGAACCACCGGTTGCATTTTCTTGAAGTGCCTTGTACTTTTGTATTTCCCTGGAATGAGACTTTAATAGCTGTATCAGACTGCAGCTTGTTGAATGGGCAATCCTATTAAAAAAAATGCCAAGAAGATAGTCTTAGTGCAAAAGAAATGTTTTATAAGAGTGTTAAAGGAAACAATTTGGATGATGACCTCGTACTTTTCCTGCCTTCAAGAATGCACAGAATGTTTAATTGATATTTTTAGTTTGGCTGCATCTCTCTAAAGACTCTTTCAGAGATGGCCATGACAAATAGGCTCTAACGCTTAATTTATTTATTGCATTTTCTAGATATTTCTGTACCTTAATCTTTCCACTATCTCTACCATTATCATTTTTCCACACACACTGTTTCCAGTTGGTCTGTGACACTGCACTATTCACGATTTCTCCTTTCTCTCCTTTAGATCCCTGCTCTCCTTTCACACCCTTGATTCCTGGCGGTCCACTGCTGCCACGTGACCCTTCACGACCTTTATCTCCTTTTATTCCCGTCATTCCAGGTGCACCATTTTTACCAAGTGACCCTGGATTTCCTTTTTGTCCTCTTGTTCCCGTCGTACCTCTCGGTCCCTTGACACCAGGCTCCCCCTTAGCTCCATCTTTTCCTTGTTGTCCTTGCGGCCCTGGGGCGCCAGGAATTCCCGGCATTCCTGGTATGCCATTCGATCCCGGAATTCCAGAAAATCCGCGAGCAAAAACGGATTTCTGAGAAAGAAAAAAGAACATATAGTAACTGGATGAACGTACTTGATGTTCATTGATATTTACTTGTCTGCCCAAGTAGTACAGCGGTTTCTTCAGAAACTAATCACGTTGATAATTTAGCTTCGTTTAGAAGAAACAGCTCGCAAAATTGAAATATCTCATAACGTTGTAGAGATATCCCTTAAAGAAAACTCTTCGCAACAATGTTCTACTTTGTCTTTCAAAACTAATGATTGACGAGGGATTTGTTTTGCTCTTAGCTTGGCAGACATGAGTGGTAAACTGAAGTATGACAAATACCTAAAGTACCTAAAGTACATGCGATTTTATAGTAAATAATCGTGGATAAAGCATGCTCAAGAGTACCTCACATGGGTCTTTGTCAGCGCCAGTTTGTGGATTCTGTTGTTGAGGACTGGCGGTTGTTCCCATGGAACTTACTCCTATTTTGAATGAGAAAAATGACAAAGCAGCGAGAATCAGAAGCTTTCCCATACTTCGATGGTTGTTTCGCGCGAATGCTTTGTGGTCGCTGTAAAATATCTCCTTATGTACGTGCCTATTTATATCCTACCGAATTTCATTAAATGCAAACTGTTAGTTATCATGCTAAACTAACAACCTTAATTAAAGAGCGCTGGAGCTAAATGATAAGGATGTCTGAAGCTTCTCGAACCCACACACCGGGTAAACAACTTGGCTGTGATATCCTCATCAGTTCACTAATGAAGCACGTACTGACCAACAGACCAATGTTTCACTCAGATTCAGAGAAATTACACAGAAAAATCTGGGCCACAAAATCTACCTACTCTGATCAAAAGAGAAATATTGAGAAGGAAAGTTCGATATAGTCTGTGATATAATGTTCATTTGTCTTTAGCTCGATTTCGGTATTTATGTTATTGGATCCATTCTAAAATAACTTTTAAATGCCGCATGTTAGACTCAAACTTATCATGAGGTGGTGTGTTCAAAATCTGTCGACAGTTAATGATGGTACAAATTACAGACCCGTCTCAATGATATCAAATTTAACTGAAACTATTATGTGTTTGATTGAAGAAACAGGCAATAGCACCCATGAGCGTACGGGCCGGGGGAGCTGGGGACTGCCCCCCCCCCCCTTTTCCCCTCCTAAGTTTTGGGAAACTCAGAATTTTTTGGCAGCAAGAGAAATTTTGGCAAAACCAATTTTTTACACAAGTTTCCGTGTTCGTTTCGTCTTTTTTTTCTTTGAAAGCGATATTTTTTTTTTAGGCTTAAGTAGGCGTGGTAAAGTCAGTTGAATTCATCTTCGGACTGTGAGTGCTGAGAGTAATTCTGAGCAACACTTATAGTATGTGCCGATATCTTCAGGGGAAGACGGTCGCCGCCATCTGCAGTTGTAGAAATGCTGACATGACCATACAGACCGTACGCCAGAGTCGTAGCGAAGAAAGTTTCAACAGCTTATGGCAGATAGTGTCAGTAATGGGTTTGAAAATTAAGAGGTGGTTAACCAGTTCTCAGTTTGAATTACGAGAAGCCTGGGCACTCTGAGAAACGCCATCGCGCAGCCTTCAAGACCTTGTAGGTGATCACGTGCAAAGACAAACGCAGCAGACATCGGAATTGTACCACCGTATGAACACTTACTATGCTTCCATCGACTTGGTGCTGTCCGAGCTTGAGCTCAGGTTTAGTAGAAATAATCTGTGCTTTGGGAGTATCTGTCACAGTGAAACACCTGATAAAGAAAGCTTCTGCGACAATTTCAAATCTTACAAAATCGGCGGCGAGATTCTGGAAGCTGAGAAAAAAATGTACGCGAGATTTCGTCTTGTGCGCGAATTAGACCACAAATGATGACTGTTTCAGAGATGCTAGGGTTAATGCACGAGAATGATTTATTTGATACGTTTCCAGAGAAAAACTTACCTCTGTGGCACTATGAAGCAACAACGTGTCAGTGACACCGCTCTTAGACCTTAAGATCTTAGATCTTAATTTGATAGATTCATGTGTAAGAAATATTTATTTCACATGTAGGCCAATGTTAATTTATCGTATGACCCTTGTTTCTCTTCGACTGTTTCATAACAATTTGGGCAACTTGCAAGAATTTTTTGGGCGAGTAATTCACTCCCTCCCCCTCCCCTGACAAAAAATGGCCCCTACACCTATGATATCATTGGTTAGTTTGGCTCGTCATTTAATATCACAGATACAGAAACAATTAACAAACTGCGGCAAGATAAAAGCGGTCAAACCCTTAGATGTTCAGGAGACTATGCGGCGCCTGATATCATGTTTATTTGTTCTATGGTCTATTTCTGTACTCATACTTACATTGAGGCGGTGAGATATATTTTTATCTCCAAAATCTGTTTTTGTGCAAAACTAACAGCGATTTTCTTGTCTCTTTTTGGTCTGTTCTCGTAAGTGATGTTTCTACTAATTACCACTGTTTTATGCGTTTCATTTATCTACAAGACTTAAAGGTTTTTTTTATCAGCGTAATGGTCACATCTGTTACTGTTTTCAGATAACGGAATTTATCTCTAAAATGTAAGCCTTCAATGCTACAGATTATTTTTCACACAGTCTTATGTGCCGCTATCTCGCTGGAATGAGACTTAAAGAGCTGTATCAGACTGCAGCTTGTTGACTGAGCAAGCCTATTAAAAATGCAGACCGTCTTCGTGCAAGATAAGAGTGTTATAGGAAATAATTTTGATGATGACCTTGTTATTTTCCTGCCTACAAGAATGCACAGAAATGTTAATTGATATTTTTAGTTTGGCGGCGTTTCTCGAAAGTCTCTTTCAGAGACGGTCATGACAAATCAATTTATTTTTTATTGCATTTTTTAGATATTTCTGTACCTTAATCTTTCCGCGATCTCTATCATCATTAAGATTTTTCCACACACTGTTTCCAGTTGGTTTATGACAATGTACTATTCACGCTTTTAAATATCACAGATAACAGTGTTGTAATTAACAAACTGCGTCAGGATAAATGCTGTCAAGCCCTTGATGTTCAGGACGGCGTTTCTGCGAACTCTGAAGCGCCTGATATCATGTTCATTTGTTGTATGGTCGATTACGGTATTCATGCTTATATTGAGGCGGTGAAATGTATTTTCGTCTCCAAAATCTGTTTTACTGTATTATTTGTACAAATTCCAGAGCTGTATCGAGAAGTTACAATCGAGAACGATATTTTTGTGTCTCTGTTGGTATGTTCTCCGAAAGTGATGTTTCTATAATTATTACTATTTTAGGCGTTTCACTTTTCGACAAGAGCTGATGGTTTTTTATCAGCGTGAGGGTCACATCTGGTTTTTTCGGTGGACGAATTTATCTCTAGAATGTAAGCCTTGAATGCTTCAGATTATTTTTCACACAGTCTTGTATGCCGCTATCTCGCACAGAACACAGGTGTGGTGTCAACTTCCAAGATTAAGAAAACACAACCAAGGGAGAATATCTTTGCATATATTTTGGTGATTGTAGCAAGGTAGGGCCAGAGTTGTGGCAGCAAGACATGTTACGTAAAATAAGATTTTGGGATCCAAGATTCATGGTGCCTTCCACCCAGTTTGCTCAAGCAATTTCCCCCAAACGTTCAAATACTTGTCTAACTTAGCATCAAATTAAACTTACGTAATAAAGTGCTTGATTTAGGAAATAGGTGATAGTATTCGTTAGCTTAACTCCTTTTTCAGATATCACAGATAACAGCGTTTTAATCAGCAAACGGCAGCAGGAAGGGCGGCCAAGCCCTTAGATATTCAAAGAGGGTAACTTTGCCGGTAACTGTGGTACTGCGTCAGTGAGGGGTATTACAAGACAATTCTGTTTTATCAACTGAATTGATAATGTAAATTGGCCAACGTAAAGAGTTTCTAAAGCATTTGCCACGTGAACCTTCATTACATTTATCTCCTTTTAATTCCCGGTCATCCCAGGTGTGTTAATAAGCTCGCCCCAAATTATCTTTGTAACATGTTCACCCCGAGAACTCTGCCCTTTGATCTTCGTGACGCAAGTCAAAAATTGTACTCGCCGAAACCAAGAACTGACTACCTGAAGCGTAGCGTTAGTTATAACGGAGCTCCTCTTTGGAACGATCTTCCTGAGGATATCCGCACTACAAAATCTCTACGCAACTTCAAGAGAAGAATTGATAAATGGCTCTCTGTATCGGACTCCCACACGGCAAATATGTAAACCAATTAATAGAAAATTTTACTTAAGATAAATTTCTCCTTTGTTTTCTATTGACATACTGATATTTTTACCGTGTTTTAAATAAAGTTTTCATCATCATCAGTTTTATCATCACCCCGGTCACCAAGATCCCTTGACACCAGGCTCTCCCTTAGATCCATCTTTTCCTTGTTGTCCTTGCGGCCCTAAGGCGCCAGGAATTCCCTGCATTCCTGGTATGCCATTCGTCCCTGGAATCCTAGGAAATCCGAGAGGAAAAATGGACTTTGGAACGAAAAAAAAATATACTGTTTGGGTGGAAAAAAAAAACAACAACAAAAGAAAACAGTTTTAGTACAGATAAATTTAATATAACGATAATATAGGGAATAAATTTTTTCGATATTTCCATACTTTGATCGTTCCATTGTCTTAATTATCATTTGCTATCCACGCGTAATGTTTCCAGTTGGTCTGTGACACTGCACTATTCACGATTTCTCCTTTCTCTCCTTTAGATCCCTGCTCTCCTTTCACACCCTTGATTCCTGGCGGTCCACTGCTACCATGTTAACCTTCATCGCCCATATTTCCTTTTATTCCCATTATTCCGGTTGAACTATTAAATCTAGTTATGCATTTATCTGGTTTAACCTATGGTGCTAAGTGACCCTTGATTTCCTTTTTTCTCTTCTTGTTCCCGTCATCCCTCTCGGTACCTTGACATCAGGCTCTTCCTTAGCTCCTAAGAAAATACTTAAGTTGGTGTCATTATTTGGGAAATCACACGGGAAAAATATTTCGAATTTCATTAAAGCGTCGCAC